CCACGGGTCGACTGACTGAGATGACTGGCTGATGCACCACCTGTGCCCCCTACTGTGCCAACCTGCTGTGCTTTAGCCACCCGGCGCTCCGCTCGTTGTTGTGAGCGTCGCTCCTCCGCCCTCCGTTGTTGTTGGAGGGCGACTACCTGCAACTGCCCAGTAGCATCCTTCACGAGCCTCCTCCACAGAGGCCGATCTTGACACCGCTGGTACCAGTCATCGGCAAATCCACTCAGCTCCACGTCCTCCTGTACCACATCACTCCATCTCTTCTCTAGCGCGTGCCGCGCCCGCTTAGCCCCATCAATCCGGCCGAACAAAAGCTGTTTTGGCATGCGGTGGCTGGGCATGCGGGCTACATGACCCAGCCATCGCAGCCTTGCCTGCCGGAGGAGCTCACCGATGGGACCTTGCCCAGATCTTTCAAGGATTTGTGAGCTCCTCACACAATCCAGTCTGGTTAAACCCAGGATGGATTGTAGGCAGGCCAGCCTAAATATTTATAACCGGCGAAGATGTTTCATTAGGGGGGTCCACGTTTCGCAAGCATAGAGAAGGGAGGGAATGACCGTGGCCAAGAAGACCTGAAGCTTAGTGCGGAGCGACAGACCCGGTAGCATCCACACAGCGTTACACAACCGATGAAAAGATATTGCCGCTCGACTGATTCGGAGTGAGACCTCTGCTATTAAACTGGAGCCGGTCATAAGCACACTGCCCAGGTATGGGAAACTCTCCAATCTCTCCACAACTGCCCCATCACCGATTGGGAGTTGTGGGGGTGGAGTGTCCGATGGTACAAAATACCCAGGCAGGTGCTTAGTTTTGGTGGGGCTGATGGTAAGGCCCCACCTCTTAGTGGCACGATCCAGTCTCAGCAGCAGCGTCTCCAACTCCTCCTCTGAATGAGCAGCTATTACCAAATCATCAGCATACATAACGTGGTTGAGCAATAGGGAGCCATCTCTTGACCGCACCCGGGCGTCGATCAGCCTCCCATTATATCTGTACCATATGGAGATTCCCCCGGTACAGCTATTGAAGGCTTCAGGAACTACGTGGTCAAAATAGATGTTAAATAATGTGGGAGCCAGAGGACATCCCTGTCGCACCCCAAGGTGTACAGGGAATGGCTCTGACTCCCGGCCACGTAGTTTTACCCGGGCCCGCTCACCATCATGAAGGTCCTTAATGATCGTGAGCAGAGGGTCAGGTACTCCAAAAGCACGAAGAACAACCCAGAGCCCAGGCCTACTGATGGTATCATAGGCCTTGACCAGGTCAATAAAGCAGAGATGTAGGTCTTGTTGGAATTCCCTACACCTCTGCTGTAGCAGACGGACAGAAAATATGGCATCTGTGCAGGACCGCCCTTTCCTGAAACCGCATCGGGGCTCCGCAAGCCTCTCCTCAGCGTGCCTGGCAAGGCGATGCTGAATAATCCTTGCCAGGACCTTTCCCGGCACACTGAGGAGTGAGATGCCCCTGTAGTTGTTACAGTCTGTGCGGTCCCCCTTCTTAAAAAGGGGGAACACCAGGGCATCCTTCCAATCCTGCGGAACCTATCCAGTGGTCTAGACTTGTTATAATGTCATATAGGGCAGTCTGTGTACAAACGCCACCCTCCCTCAGCATTTCGCTTGGGAGATCATCTCTGCCCGCTGCCTTCTCTGGTCTCAGACTCCGGATCGCCTTCAGTACTTCCTCAACAGATGGCACCTCAGCCAGCCACTCACAGGGGGTGACTTCTTCCAATATTTGAGGCACTGCAGCCTCAGCAGGGTCATCCCCACTTTGTGCCACGATGTATTCCTGGCTGAGGGATTTCCCCTCCCCCAGGATCTCACAGAGATGCTAAGCAAATCTGCAAACCTGTTCCTGGGGGTCGGAGATTGGATCACCGTTTTTTCCCCTAATGATGGTTAATAGGTGTGGTGCTGCAGGTTACTTTTTTGATGGAGTTAAATAGAGATTTGTGATCGCGGGCCACTGAGGCAGACTCCATCTCCTCAGCAACCCGCGACCACCACCCATCCTTCCAGCGCCTCACGGCTCTCTGAACCTCCGAGCGAAGGCTGCGGTAAGCCTCCTCATTCTCTGATGTGGGATTCTGTAGCCGATGACAGTGGGCCTGTCGCTTTTTCTTAACCATCCTGAACACCTCCTCTGTCAGCCAGGGTCTCTGGGGAGGTCTGGACCGCGTACCCAAAGCAACCATTGCAGCTGCATGAGTCACAGTCCTAAACCTCGCCCATTTACCCTCGACATCAGGAGGAGTCGGGGACGATGCCAATCCCAGCCGCAAGCGATGATGAAATTCTCGATTGCAACTTTCATCAGATAACTGAGACCAGGCCAAATTTTGATTTAAAGCTTTCGTGACTGCAGTAATTCATATTCTTAGCTCTTTCGGTAAAGTCACGTTGAAGGGAAACAATAGAATAATAAAATATATATGAAACAATAAAAAAATTCTCACGACGTTTCGACCATAACACAAACGGTCGTCATCAGGTGTGAAAAGTAACCAGACCAGGTGCCAGCATCATGACCAACTCGAGCATTGAAGTCACCCAACATGATAACTCCATCCTGAGGGGCCACTTTAGCCAGCTCCTGTGACAGGAGGTCATAGAAGGCATCTGACTCATCGGCTTTGCCTGCATCCCTCCGCAGATGTTCGTCTTCAGTGGGGGCATAAGTAACCACGACCACCATTCCTCGCCTCCGGTTGATGGGAAGGCGAGCCCAAAGTAGCCTGGGGCTTACAGCTTCCCACACCTCACCGTCACAATCCCACGCCCCCTTCATTCTTTTGTTCAAAAGAAGAGCCACACCCTGTTGTTTGGCAGTCTGCTGCCCCGAGTAGAGGACTGTCCACCCCTCATTGTGGCAGGAGCCAGAACCGGTCCACCAGACCCCCTGAATGCCACAGAGATCCAGGCGGTACCGGTCCAGCTCCCGACAGAGGAGCGGCAGCCTCTCCTCCGCAGTGACCGTTAGAACATTCCACGTGGCCACATGAAGTGGCTTTTCGTTGTTTCTGGAGGAGCCCCGAGGGTTGAGATTCAATCTCCTGGCTCCGCCAATTGGGGTTTGGCCAGGAGACGTCATAGACGCCTGTCCCCCGGGGGCCTCCGGCACAAGCTTATTAGTTATATATTTTAGTCGTGGTTTCGTGGTAATTAATTGAAGGTGGAGGGGTTACCAGCCCCTCGCACCCGTCCAGAGCCCCCGTTTAGCCCCTGTGGTGGTCACAGACGCCATGAGGGGAGGGGCCAATCGGAATTGGCCCTCCCCCCACAGCACTGTCCACGACAGAGTTGCCCGTCCGGCACCGCGAGGAGGTAGGGGGTTGTTTTGCCGTACTGTGTGTGTGACACACACACACACAGTGATACATACACAGTGACACATACACAGTGATACATACATAGTGATACATACACAGTGACACATACACAGTGAGACATACACAGTGATACACACACAGTGACACACACAGTGACACACACAGTGACACATACACAGTGATACATACACAGTGATACATACACAGTGATACATACACAGTGACACACACAGTGATACATACACAGTGATACATACACAGTGATACATACACAGTGATACACACACAGTGACACATACACAGTGACACACACACAGTGACACACACACAGTGATACACACACAGTGATACATACAGTGATACACACACAGTGACACATACACAGTGATACATACACAGTGACACACACAGTGACACATACACAGTGATACACACACAGTGATACATACACAGTGACACATACACAGTGAGACATACACAGTGATACACACACAGTGACACACACAGTGACACACACAGTGACACATACACAGTGACACATACACAGTGATACATACAGTGATACATACACCGTGATACACACAGTGATACATACACAGTGACACACACAGTGATACATACACAGTGATACATACACAGTGATACACACACAGTGACACATACACAGTGACACACACACAGTGACACACACACAGTGATACATACAGTGATACACACACAGTGACACATACACAGTGATACATACACAGTGACACACACAGTGACACATACACAGTGATACACACACACAGTGATACACACACAGTGATACATACACAGTGACACATACACAGTGACACACACACAGTGACACATACACAGTGATACATACACAGTGATACACACAGTGACACATACACAGTGACACACACACAGTGACACACACAGTGACACACACACACAGTGATACACACAGTGACATACACACAGTGATACCCCTCCCGATACATCTTGTTAGCCACGCAGAGGTACATGGAGCTACACCCACCCACCCACTCACCCACTAACTCACCCACCCACTCGCTCACTCACTCACCCACTCACCCACTCGCCAACTCACTCACCCACTAACTAACCCACCCACTCACTCACCAACTCACTCATCCACTAACTCACCCACCCACTCGCTCACTCACTCACCCACTCACTCACCCACTCACCCACTCACCCACTAACTAACCCACCCACTCACTCACCATCTCACTCACCATCTCACTCACCAACCCACTCACCCACTAACTAACCCACCCACTCGCTCATCCACCCACTCACCCACCCACTCACCCACCCACTCACCCACTCACTCACCCACTCACTCACTCACCCACCCACCCACTCACCCACTCACTCACCCACTCACCCACTCACTCACCCACCCACTCACCCACCCACCCACCTACTCACCCACTCACTCACCCACTCACCCACTCACCCACTCACTCACCCACCCACCCACTCACCCACCCACTCACTGACCCACCCACCCACCCACTCACCCACCCACTCACTGACCCACTCACCCACTCACTCACCCACTCACTCACCCACCCACCCACTCACCCACCCACTCACCCACCCACCCAGTGTTGGGTGGTGGTGGAGGCCCCACCTGGCTTGTTGCTCCCACACGTCAGAGGCGTTGTAGACGTCCTCCACGAATTTGTCGTCCACCAGCCAGTACATCAGCGGCATGAGGGAGGCCTCGTAGCCGAAGAAGGCGAGACACGGGACGTGGAGGCGTTGGCCTGGACACACACACACACAGTCACACACACACACACACAGTTACACACACACAGTTACACACACACACACACAGTTACACACACACACACACAGTTACACACACAGTCACACACACACAGTGACACACACAGTCACACACACACACAGTCACACACACACAGTCACACACACACAGTTACACACACACACAGTTACACACACACAGTCACACACACACACACAGTTACACACACACACAGTTACACACACACACACACAGTTACACACACACACACAGTTACACACACACACACACAGTTACACACACACAGTCACACACACACACAGTTACACACACACAGTTACACACACACACACACAGTTACACACACACAGTGACACACACACACAGTTACACACAGTTACACACACACAGTTACACACACACACAGTTACACACACACAGTTACACACACACACAGTTACACACACAGTTACACACACACAGTTACACACACACACACACAGTTACACACACAGTTACACACACACACACACAGTCACACACACACACAGTTACACACAGTTACACACACACAGTCACACACACACACACAGTTACACACAGTTACACACACACACACAGTTACACACACAGTTACACACACACAGTTACACACACACACACAGTTACACACACACACAGTTACACACACACACAGTCACACACACACACACAGTTACACACACACACAGTTACACACACACAGTTACACACAGTTACACACACACACACACAGTTACACACACACACAGTTACACACAGTCACACACACACAGTTACACACACACACAGTTACACACACACACACACAGTCACACACACACACACACAGTTACACACACACACAGTTACACACACACAGTCACACACACAGTCACACACGCAGTTACACACACAGTTACACACACACAGTCACACACACAGTTACACACACAGTTACACACACACACAGTGACACACACACACAGTTACACACAGTCACACACACACACAGTTACACACACACACAGTCACACACACAGTTACACACACACACACAGTCACACACACAGTTACACACACACAGTTACACACACAGTTACACACACACACAGTCACACACACACAGTGACACACACAGTTACACACACACAGTTACACACACACAGTCACACACACACACAGTGACACACACAGTTACACACACACAGTGACACACACAGTTACACACACACACACAGTTACACACACACACACAGTTACACACACACAGTTACACACACAGTTACACACACACACACAGTTACACACACAGTTACACACACAGTTACACACACACACAGTTACACACAGTTACACACACAGTTACACACACACACAGTCACACACACACACAGACACACACACAGTCACACACACAGACACACACACACACACAGTTACACACACACACAGTTACACACAGTTACACACACACAGTTACACACAGTTACACACACACACACAGTTACACACAGTTACACACACACACAGTTACACACAGTCACACACACACAGTTACACACACACAGTCACACACACACAGTTACACACACACAGTGACACACACACACAGTAACACACACAGTTACACACACAGTTACACACAGTTACACAGTTACACACAGTTACACACACACAGTGACACACACAGTTACACACACAGTTACACACACACACAGTTACACACACACAGTTACACACACACACAGTCACACACACACAGTGACACACACAGTTACACACACAGTTACACACACACAGTTACACACACACACACACAGTTACACACACACACACAGTAACACACACACAGTTACACACACACACACAGTCACACACACAGTTACACACACACACACACACAGTTACACACACACACACAGTTACACACAGTCACACACACAGTTACACACACACAGTGACACACACACACAGTAACACACACAGTTACACACACAGTTACACACACACACAGTCACACACACACAGTTACACACACACACAGTTACACACACACACAGTTACACACACACACAGTCACACACACACAGTTACACACACACAGTTACACACACACACAGTTACACACACACACAGTTACACACACACACAGTTACACACAGTCACACACACACAGTGACACACACAGTTACACACAGTTACACACACAGTCACACACACACAGTCACACACACACAGTTACACACAGTCACACACACACAGTGACACACACAGTTACACACAGTTACACACACAGTTACACACACACACACAGTTACACACACAGTTACACACACACAGTTACACACATACACAGTCACACACACACACAGTTACACACACACACAGTTACACACACACAGTTACACACACAGTTACACACACACAGTGACACACACACAGTTACACACACACACAGTCACACACACAGTTACACACACACACAGTCACACACACACACAGTTACACACACACAGTTACACACACACACAGCTACACACACACACAGTTACACACACACAGTTACACAGTCACACACACACAGTTACACACAGTTACACACACACACAGTTACACACACACACACAGTTACACACAGTTACACACACACAGTTACACACACACAGTTACACACACAGTTACACACACACAGTTACACACACACACAGTTACACACACAGTTACACACACACACACAGTTACACACACACACAGTTACACACACACAGTTACACACACACAGTTACACACACACACACAGTTACACACACACACAGTTACACACACACACACACAGTTACACACACACAGACACACACACACAGACACACACACACAGTTACACACACAGTTACACACACACAGTTACACACACAGTTACACACACAGTTACACACACACAGTTACACACAGTTACACACACACACAGTTACACACACACACAGTTACACACACACACACAGTTACACACACAGTTACACACACACACACACAGTTACACACACACAGTTACACACACACACACAGTTACACACACAGTTACACACACACACACAGTTACACACACAGTTACACACACACACACAGTTACACACACACAGTTACACACACACACAGTCACACACACACACACACAGTTACACACACACACAGTTACACACACACACACACACAGTTACACACACACACAGTCACACACACACAGTGACACACACAGTTACACACACAGTTACACACACACAGTTACACACACACAGTTACACACACAGTTACACACACACAGTTACACACACACAGTTACACACACACACAGTTACACACACACACACAGTTACACACACACAGTTACACACACACACAGTTACACACACACACACACACAGTCACACACACACAGTGACACACACAGTTACACACACAGTTACACACACACAGTTACACACACACACACACACAGTTACACACACACACACAGTTACACACACACACAGTCACACACAGGTACACACACACACAGTTACACACAGTTACACAGTTACACACACACAGTTACACACACACAGTCACACACACAGTTACACACACACACACAGTTACACACACACACAGTTACACACACACAGTTACACACACACAGTTACACACACACACACAGTTACACACACACAGTTACACACACACACACAGTTACACACACAGTTACACACACACAGTTACACACACACACAGTTACACACACAGATACACACACACACAGTTACACACACACAGTTACACACACACAGTTACACACACACACACAGTTACACACAGTTACGCACACAGTTACACACACACAGTTACACACAGTTACACACACACACAGTTACACACACACAGTTACACACACAGCTACACACACAGTTACACACACAGTTACACACACACAGTTATACACACAGCTACACACACACACAGTTACACACACACACAGTTACACACACACACAGTTACACACACACACAGTTACACACAGTCACACACACACAGTAACACACACAGTTACACACAGTTACACACACAGTCACACACACACAGTCACACACACACAGTTACACACAGTCACACACACACAGTGACACACACAGTTACACACAGTTACACACACACACAGTTACACACACACAGTTACACACAGTTACACACACACAGTGACACACACACAGTTACACACACACACAGTCACACACACAGTTACACACACACACAGTCACACACACACACAGTTACACACAGTTACACACACACAGTTACACACACACACAGCTACACACACACACAGTTACACACACACAGTTACACAGTCACACACACACAGTTACACACAGTTACACACACACACAGTTACACACACACACACAGTTACACACAGTTACACACACACAGTTACACACACACAGTTACACACACAGTTACACACACACAGTTACACACACACACAGTTACACACACAGTTACACACACACACACACAGTTACACACACACACAGTTACACACACACAGTTACACACACACACACACACACAGTTACACACACACACAGTTACACACACACACACACAGTTACACACACACAGACACACACACACAGACACACACACACAGTTACACACACAGTTACACACACACAGTTACACACACAGTTACACACACAGTTACACACACACAGTTACACACAGTTACACACACACACAGTTACACACAGTTACACACACACACAGTTACACACACACACACAGTTACACACACAGTTACACACACACACACACAGTTACACACACACAGTTACACACACACACACAGTTACACACACAGTTACACACACACACACAGTTACACACACACACACAGTTACACACACACAGTTACACACACACACAGTCACACACACACAC